AGAGAGAGAATTTTTAATATTTATTTTTTAGTTCTCCGCGGACACAACATCTTTGTAGGTATGTGGTGCTGAGGATCGAACCCAGGTCGCACCCATGCCAGGCGAGCTCGCTACCGCTTGAGCCACATCCCCAGCCCTGATATCTTTTTTTGAGAGAGAGAAAGAATTTTTTAATATTTATTTTTCAGTTTTCAGTGGACACAACATCTTTATTTTATTTTTATGTAGTGCTGAGGATCCAACCCAGTGCCCCGCGCAGGCCAGGCGAGCACGTTATGGCTTGAGCCACATCCCCAGCCCCATAGATTGATGATATCTTGTTTTACAACTTCTTTAAAACTTTTTGCCCAGTGTGAAGGCCTACATCTGTTGTCTCAGCTGCTGAGCAGTCTCTAAAATTAGAAGGACTGTTGGGGAGTTCCTGACCAGCAAGGCAAATTAGCAAGACCTTGTCTCAAAAAAAAAAAAAAAAAAAAAAAAGCTAAGAATGTAGCTCAGTAGTAGAGTGCTCCAGGGTTTAGTCCCCAGTGCTGGAAGTTAGGAGAACTCTTTATGGAATAAATAGGGAAATGAAGTCATTCACTTAGCATTTACCGAACACTGATTATGTGACTGAGACTGATGAAAAAAACGAATAAGGCACTACTCCAGGCCTCAGGGATCTTTCTTCAGGGAGATTCAGGTCCACAGGAAGACAAGATGTAAGATGAAAGAGGTGAAAAGTGGAAACCTCAACAACAAGGGAGCAAATCCTGAGTACCTCCCAGGGGAGAATTTTTGCAAAAGCAGGGATGAAAGAAGAGTTGCTAAATGCTCAGAAACCACAATAGTTTTGAATGCCCAGCGAGTGTATTAGGGATATAGAGGGACTTAAGGGAAGTCGACTTGACAATCTGATAGGGCTGACTGCATGTGGGAAATCGATTGAGGGGTGAAGACAAGAAGGGTTATAAGACGTGATAGGCAGGATAGGCTAAAGACTGAAACATCTGGAAAGATCTTTTAAGAAGTAGAAAGACCTGAGGCAAGTGCGAGGGAGAGGGATGGGGCAATGATGACGTCCAAGTTTCCGGCGTGGGCGCTCACGGAAATGAGAAACAGAACCGGGACAGTGCTGGGGGAAAGACAGGGAGCTCGATTGTGCACTGAGGTGTCTGTGGGGCACTCAAGGAACGATCTCCAGGAGGAAGAGCTATTATTAAAGAAGAGGCTGGACCGAATAGACACGTGGGCGCAATCAGAGTACACCTGCGCACGAGAGTGCCCCGCCGTGGAGTGAAAGAAACCCTCGCTTTTGGATTTCGCCATCGTGAGAAGGCACTGGACCAGCACTCTTCTCACAGCCCCGCCCTAGGCCGGTCGTCTCGCACAGGGCGCGGCACCCGAGAACAAGCCTTCCGGCTCCCGGAAGGCGCGGCATGCTGGGAGCGGAAGCCCGCTCCAACCGCAGAGCACGTTGGGAACTGCAGTTTTGAGTAGGCCAGGAATTCCTCTCTAGTCACGGCCTTGAGTTACTTGAAGGGCAGGTCCAGAAAGCGGTGGTGCTCCCGGGGCAGGGTCCCCCTCCGTCGGCGGCACAGTGCTCCCCGGGCCGCATCCCCTCTCCTCAGGGCATGACACTTCCACGCCTCCACGATCTGCTCCACCTACAGGGGAAGGCGGGTCACCGCGCAGCCCTGCAGTGCCTCTTCGCCAGGGAGACACTGGGCAGAGCGCACCCCTAGCTCCGGGTCCCCACGTTGCGGAGTTGATCTGAGCCTGGCTCCCCGCGTCCTCACCGGGATAAACGGCTCCCGCCGGTTCTGCTCTTCCAGGGCGCTCAGCTCCGCCGGGGCCAGCAAGGCCAGCCTCAGCTCTCGCACCACCGGGGCCGCCACCTCAGCCACAGGCCGCTCCAGCACCGCCTGCGAAAGCCAGCATTGAGACCGGGCATGGCGGGAGCACCCGCCCCACCTCCAGCTCGCTGGGTTCCTGCTGCCGGTGCCGCCTTCAGCGCCCTGGGTTCCCACTCCCTCTCACCGCGCCCACGCGCGCCCAGCTCCAGGCTGCCCGGACCAGCTCGAGCTCGTCCACGCAGAGCTTGTCGCTGCGCAGCAGGGGAAGCAGCGCAGCGGCCGACAGCTCCAGGAAGCCACGGGTCCGGAGCGCCTCCTGCGGGCGGGGGAACCGATCAGGGGAAAGCAGAATGGTGTGGGGTTAGAAATATGAAGGTGGGGAGTAATACCTGGCTGTGGGCTTCTATGAAAGCTATGCACCGCTCCTGCAGCGGCCCCAGGCCAAAGGTTACAGCCACCTGGGAGCAGAATGAGGAAGTTAGGTTAGAGATTGGAGAAACCATGTAGCCCTGCCCTCCACCCTGGGAACCATCACTGCGAACCTGACCCTACTTCCAGTTGGGGAGGATGACAAGGCCTCTGGAAACTAGAACCAGTGAAAGTCCCTGTTTGCATATCCACACACAGTGCACACTAAAGAAGGCAGGACACCTCCTTCAAATCCCATCCTGGGGCCTAGGCTTGGCTTCCCTTCTCCAAACCCCACTCTTCACCTTCCTCGGCTGAGAACCATTTCCCAGCTTTTATAGAAGACCAGCAAAGATCTTCTGTTCTTCAACTCTTGCTCCTACACCTGACTCTGCTAGTGAACCCTGGATCCCACTTATCTAGGCACATAATTTATCCCATAAACATCCTTGGGACATTCCTACCCCCTTCCATGTATCTAGGTTATTCCAGGACAGACACAGGAGGTCTAGACTCCTGGTTCCTTGGAGCCCAGTACCACATACTGAAAGCCAGACTTCTCCTAGGTCCATCCAGCAACACCCACCTGCAGAGCCTCACAAACCAATTCCACGTCCAGCACCTTCACCACAAACTCCAGACACAGCTGGAAACAGAAATAAATCTGAGTTGTGTGGAGATGTCTCTACTCCAAGGCCCAGACCTAATAAAGTAGTGAGCAGGCTTGAGGGTTAGCCCATCCAGACTCCGATTAGCCCCAGACCCATCCAGGCCTGGGGAAGCCAGGAATTGCCAGGGCCTGAGATTTGGCAAGCCCAAAGAAACTGGAGATTAGCAAAGCCAAGCCCAGAAAACCACCTTCCAGTACACTTGCCACTAATCAGATCAGATAAGACCCATGCAAAAATTCCACTCTCTTCTCAGGATGCTATTTTCTTCCATTTGTTCCTTTCCTGACTTGAGAACATTTCTATTTTTATCAGAAACTTGAATTTCATCCTTAACATCTCTCATTGTCACCCAGAAAAGCACTGGGTCATGCCAGTTCCACTTCATCTCTGAAAACTACCCACTTCTCTTTTGAGTTTCTGCCACCCCCATCCTAGCCACATCCACTTGACTTGACTGATGCACTAGAGTCCTGACTGGTTTGATGAGCCCTTTCTATTTCTTACACTCCCTTCTCCCCTTAGCTTCAAATCCCATTCCCTTACCTGAAACCTTCAGTAAATCTCCACTGTACTCATGTTGAAAAAAAACAAAATTCTTTTTCTTTTGTTGTGTGTGTGTGTGCTTGCACAAGTTGGTCAGGGATTGAACACAGGGCCTCACCAGGCTAAGCAAGCACTATACCACTGACCAATACTCCCAATCCATAATCTAAATTCCCCTCCCTATGCCCTTTTTTTTCTTGCAGTACTGAGGATTAAACACAGGGGTGCTCTATCTTTGAGCTACATCCCCAACTCTTTTTATTTTTTATTTTGAGACAGGATTCACTAATTTGGCTTTGACTTGCAACCCTCCTACTTTAGCCTCCTGAGTCACTGGGATCATAAGTGTGTACCAGCATGCCCAATCCAGAAGTCTAAATTCTTTACTTTCTTTGGAACCAGGAATCGAACCCAGGGGCAGTTAACCATGGAACCACGTCCCCAGCCCTTTTTATATTTTATTTTGAGACAGGGTCTAACTAAGTTGCTTTGAACCTCACTAAGTTGCAGAGGCTGGCTTTGAACTTGCAATCCTGTCTCAGCCTCCTGAGTCACTGGAATATAGGTATGAGCCACCACACCCAAACAGAAATCTAAATTATTTTTTTATTATTATTTTATTTATATTTTAGTTCTTGGCAGACACAACATCTTTGTTTGTATGTGGTGCTGAGGATCGAACCAAGGCCGCACACCTGTGTAGTCGAGCTCGCTACCGCTTGAGCCACATCCCCAGCCCAGAAGTCTAAATTCTTGAAGACCCTGAATGAACCAGCTCCTGGCACTCTCTCCAGTCATATCTTGCCCCCTTCTGTTCTCACATCCTATCCAACCACACCAAATGTCTCACTACCTCCTTTAGTACCTCTGTAACTGGGATGACATCTTCCCACTCTCCCTGTGAAAAAACTGCTCATTCTGYCAAATCACAAATGTTTCCTCCTCCAGGAATTCTTTCCCCACATAGCCTCAGTGCTATTTACCCTATATATCACACTTGTGCCACAGGGTTAAGTGTTTCCTTTAAAGATAGGAATCAAGGCTGATTTATCCTTCACTCATCAACACCTGATGTTCAATTAGCCTACTCGGGGCATGTGAGGATTCTGTGCATACAGACTCACATGCATGCCTTGTGTATACAGAGATACCTGTACTTCTATGTGTATACACATTGCCCTCCAGGTCAGAGTATGTAAAATAGGGTATGAATTGGGTCCATGAGAGGCAAGGGAAACCAACCAGGACCTGGCACAAAAACCTACCTCTCGCAGTTCTTCTAGCCCATACTCCACAGCTGCCGTCAACACCTCCAGCACCTACAAAGTGGGTGGTTGGGGGACCAGAAGAGAGTTTCCCCTGACTCTTGGCCCACAGTGTGATGGGCAGACTCCTGCCTCTTGTACCCCCAGCCACTCCCACCCAGGCCCCTGGTCAGTGGGCTCACAGAGTGGTGGTGCAACTTGACACTGTTGGTATACAGGAACTCCAGCACTGCCAAGAAGGCCTCAGCTGGCACAGTGCTTAGCACCACAGGACTAGGCACCCCGGGGCCCAGCTCTGTGCCCAGCAGTCGCTGGAAGAAGTTGCATCTACAGGCCAACAGGCACCGGTGGGCAAATACCTCCTGCCGTTCTTGACCGACCACAAAGCAAACATCACTGTGGAAGAGAGGGGCAGAGAGCCAGAGGAAAGGAGTCCAGAGCCTAGAGTTCAATTTGGGCTTYACTTTTGCCCACTCTGAACCTTCGTTTCCTTATCTGTAACATAAGACAGGGTTTAGCCTTCCAGGAAAAGGTCTGGTATACACAGACGTGAGTTCCACTCCCACCTCTATCCATGGTATTGCAGGCAAGTGACTTCTCCCCCCGCACACACTGGGTCATATCCCCAGCCCATTCTTGTTATTGTTGCTATTATTTTTGGAGAAGGGTCTCACTAAGTTGCTGAGGCTAGCTTTGAACTTGCCTCAGCCTCCTGAGCCGCTGATATTATGTGCATATGCCACTGTGCCTGGCAATTTCCTATCTTTTAACCTTAAGTTTCTCACCCCTGACCTCAGAGGAGATGACTGTGCTTGATTGCGAGGGGGCAACAGGGTTAATAAAAGTAAGATTGATCCCAACTCCCCAGCCCCTCCCCAGTCTGAGTCTTTGGGGAGGGAAAGCTCTTCTTGGTACCTCCTCCAGTGGCTGCAAACTCAGCTGTTTTTCAGCCCTCCTCCAGGGAGGAGGGAGTGGGGGTGTAGGGTGCAGAATGTGCATTAACTGTAAACAGACATGGCAGTCATGCACCATAATGAGGCCAGACCACATTTTCCATCTTCATGATCACTTCCGGCCCCAGTTTCTGGGCCCCTGAACAAGGTAGATGGTAGAAGACAAGAGAAAATATGTGTTTCTTAGAGCCTTCTAGTCTCATAGTCCAAGTCGTGAGGTTCCTACTACTCAGACCAGACTGCAACCCCCAGAGAAGCAGGGTTATGGGAACTACCAACCCTGGGGAAGAGTCCAGATTTGAGATACTGGGGCCGGGGGAGAGCTACATTTTAGCTCTCCTGACCAACCCTGCCCCAAGTAAACTCTATCCCTATTTTCAAACACCATTAACATTTTGGGCAAACAGTGGTCAGCACCCTTGAACTACTTCCTGTCTGGAACTCTGGCTCAATCCCTTGAGCTTTCTTCCTCTTTTGAATTCCCAATTCTCAGAACAGGCTCCTGCTTCTTCAAGGAGAGAGGCCCCAACATCTAAGTGCTCAATGGGAGGGAGTCAAGTTACATCGCATTTTTCAGGCTCTTTTCCCCTCTGAGAGGAGCTCAAGATTCACAGAAGGATTTTGCTTGAGCTCACACAGCAGCCCAGGGCTCTATCCCCCACAGCCCCCCACCGTGGCTCTCAAGATATCATGGACACTGAGAAGCTGGTAGCCATCATCTACATTTGGTCCCCACCGACTGAGTTCGCCAGGGAGGAAGGCAAAGTCCTTTTCACCTCTTCACCCAGGGCCTCCCCAGAGTCATGGGGCTATGCAAAGTCAGCTAGGGAAAACTTACCCACCGGGCCCACTTCCTCACCTGTATTGGGGGTTGTTGACAAGACTTCGAAGTGCTGTGGAAAAGGAAGCAGTCTGCCCATGCACAACTAGTCCTGGATTCTCCATGCATGGAGTGGGGCAGGGAGAAAAAGAAAGTGGAGTGGTTTAGGAGGTCTGCTGCTGTTGGTCTGTGGGAGGCCTGGTCAGGCCTTAGAGCTGGTGAGATTAGAAAGGCCTGAGAGAGGCAGGAGCTCAGGAAGCCTGTTTACTGAGAATCTAAAGTTTAGGGATGAAGAGAGGCTCAGGAATAGGGATAGATATGGTGGGGGTAGAGGTAGGGGACCTGGAGAGGCTGAGGCCGGAGCGCCAGTAGTCCAGGGGAGAAGCTGGTGTGGGATGAGGCCTGGGCTGGGAGCTTGCCCAGGCGGCAGCGTTGGGGTGGGAAGCCTGTGGGTTTCCATGGAAACTGGAGCCCAGCCTAAAAGGAGGCCCCGCCCATCTCCCCACAGGCCTGGTGGAAAACTTTAGCCTGTGGAAGGACCCTAAACACAGTCTTGAGAGCCTTAACTCTGGTCCTGACCTGCCACAATTTCAGAATTCAAGCTCCTGCTCTCCCCCAGTCATAGGTTAAACTCAGGTTAGGCAGGCCTGGGAAACCTCACCTCCACAGGGAAAATCCTCATTCCATGGATGATTTTCTGGGCCCAGACATAGTTTGCTGGAGAGGGGGTAGTCCCATCCCTTCCAGGGTAAAGTGAATTGTCTGCTCTGACAGAAGCATGGCAGCCTCTGGCATCCTTGAAATGCAGCTGGGTAATCTAGGTACTGGGGCACACAGGGGTGTGGCCAACTGGGGACAAGCCCCAGGGCACTTGGGTCAGTAAGGGTCAAGAGACTGGACTCAGGTTTACCACTGAGTCATAGCTTTCAGGACTTGGTCCTCCCATCTGAGCCAATGGGCCTCCCCACCCCCGCACAAAGCCCAGAACTGAGGAAGTCATCCAAGCCCCACCCCAGCTCAGTGCCTGGAGCGGAAATGTTTGTCCTGGTTGAGACTGATGCGGRGACGATAGAGCAATGACGTGCTCCTTCCTGTCTGCCTGGATCCTGGATTCCTGAGCAGCCACCCCTGCAGCCTCAATGTCCTCCCACACATACCCTAGGCCCTGTGATTTGTTCATAAATGGCCAGTCATCTGGCCATTTCACAAAGTTAGAAATGGAGAATGGCTCAAGAGTCCTGGGGCTTTCTAAGCAGAGCCCCTAACTATCGGTTGTCTGGTGGTGGTAGTATGTCCCTGAGCTCAAGACTTTATAGGCCTTTCTCCCCAATAACTCAGGGGTACCCCATCCTCAGCAGGTGCTCATAGTAGTAACACTCTTAGGTTATTCCAGAGCCAAGTTGGAGGAAGGGAGGGACTCTGGGAGGAAGGAGTGCTTGCCCTAGCAGCCCATGGCAACTGCAAAACATGGCCCTTCCTCCTCCCACCTGCAAGTCAGGCTAGCTGGGCCAGGGCTGTGGAGCCGAGAGAGCTTGGAGACCAAGGTTGCAGGTGAGTCAGGTGCCTGAGGGAGTTTCAGGAGAGGAGGGCAACCATCCCAGAAGTGGTTCTGTAGGAGGTGCAGTCACAGGACAAAAGCAGAAGGAAGAAAGAGTTTCAGTGGTCACCTGCCCCCAGCCTCAGCCTGTTGTAGTGGCTGAGTGAGTTTTCTGTGCCCTATCAGAGCAGGAATGGTAGAAGGTGACTGGATTCAATATCCCCAGGGTTAGTGGGATCTGTGGAAATGAAGGAGTTGGTTCTGTCCATCCTTTCTGGTTAAGGGTTGCAGGCACCACTTCTACTCTCCAGGCTGAGTCAGAAGCCAGCTTCATCTCCCCCTTATGCTAGTGAAGTCAGGTGGAAGGGAGAAAAGTAAGTACAATAGATCTCACTTAGCCAACCTACATAGTGCCCAAGGCAAAGTGGAAACCAGGATGGCAAAGACTAGCTCAGAATTATAGACTGAGTAGCGTCTTTTCCCCTCTTTGTCCCTAACAGCTCTTAACTCTCTAAGCACCTAGAAACCCACCCAGCTTGACTGTTTGATCCACTTGTTCCAAAAACACAGGTAAGAAGTGGGTAAGGGAAAGTTTGACACAGTACTGTGCCACCTAGACCCAGCTACTTGGGAGGCTGAAGTGGGAGAATCATTTGAGCCCAGAGGTTCAGGATCAGCCTGAGCTACATAGTGTGTGACACCACTTCAAAAAAAAAAAAAAAAAAAAAGGGAAAAGCCAGCCGGTGTGTGTGGTGGTGGGTGGTAAATAAGAAGAGGGGTATAAAAACCCTTCACATCACTCAGCAACAGGGGACGCAGAAAGATGGCCATTGAAGCCCATCCTAAACGTGTGTCTTTCAACCAGCAAGCCCATGGCTGGCAGGCCTCTGCCCCCAGGACGCCAGGAGGGACACCAGGAAGAGACTGCCAAAGATTTGGGGCCTAAACTACCACCAGTACGGCCCCGTGGTCGCCTGCCCAGCATTGATGAGGCTGGACCTGCAGCTGTGGGCCCAGCCTCCCGCCGTGGCTCTGTGTTGGGTCCAGCCACATCCTTCTCACGCCGCAACTCACTGGCTGGGCCAGTCACTGGTCCTGGAKGTCGGCGACAATCCCTGGTCCCAGCGCCCCCTCTAGGTTCTCGGGTCAGCTTCTCAGGGTTGCCCCTGGCGCCAATCCGGCAGGTAGCACCTTCGTACCGCATGGAGCCTGCGCCTGGAGAATGCTGGGAGGCTGCCCGTGCTCAGCGTGCTCTGGAGGCAGCCTTGGATGCCAGGTTGMGGGATGCTTCCTACTCTGGTTCGGAGGCTGGGAGGCTGACTCGAGAGCTGTGTGAACAGATGCGTGCGCACCTGCGTGAGTTCAGCCCACCGCGCTATAAGCTTGTGTGCAGCGTGGTGTTGGGGCCGCGCACCGGCCAGGGCGTGCATGTGGTCAGTCGCGCGCTTTGGGATGTAGCACGCGATGGACTGGCTTCTGCTACCTTCACTAACGCTTCACTTTTTGCGGTGGCCACCGTCCACGGGCTCTACTACGAATAAGCAGGCCGAGTTCTGCAAAAGGTTTATTATCCCAGAAGGAGGGCCCCCTGGGGTTCACATCCCAATAAATAAATGTCTGTCAATAAATAAAAGTGGTCCATAAATAATGCCCCTAATTTGGGGCTAAGGCTCAGGCTTATCTCAGAGAGGGGGTAAGAAATAGTAAGGACAAGCCACCCCAACTCTAGTAAAGCTGGTCCCTGATTCCCTGGGGGATTCAGCCCAGAGCCCCCAGTGAGGCACCAATGGAACAGAGAGGGCCACAAAGGCAAGGGCCAGAGCCTTACAGGCACAGGCCTCAGGTTTGAGGGCTTGGGTCATGGCCTGCTCTGCATGGTGGGGCCTAGGCTGGACTACGGTCCCTGAGCAGCCGCAGAGCATATCGGAGTCGCTGCTTCAGGTCCGGGGAGCAGCCCAGCTGCCGGAGGTGGGAAGCGAGGTAAGTACAAGCACTGCGATTTCGGGCCACAAAAGTCACAAGGAGGGGCTCCCAGCCGCTGAGGATCAGCTTGGTGTGGTCCCCATAGAAGTTCACCTGTATACAAGGAGAAGGATATTGATCAGGGCCAGGGCCAAGGCTCCAGGCCCAATATTCTTCCCAACATCCTAGGCCTCCCAGACCTTCCCTCCAACTCCAGGGTGGGCTCTTACCTGGACAGTGCCATCACTAAATAGCATGAGGAGGGCCTGATCAGTCTTGACCCACTGCAGCAGCAAGGGTGGGCCAGGCACCTCCACCTCTTCCACACTGGGCAGATCTCCACCCTGAGAGCAGGAGCAGGGTAGGTCACTGGTCTGACATGAATCAGATGTCTCCATTGATGTCTCCTTTTCTTACGGGTTCAGCCTTTAGCTTTGAGCCCCTCCTCCCATTACCAAAGGGGAACTTGAAGTAATGAGGATGTGTAAATATTCAGTATGCTCGACCCTTACCCACATACCTTCATGAGGTGCTGCTCCATGTAGGAGGCAAAATATCGTAGGATGCCCAGCTGAGGTTGCAGAGCTCGAGGTACAGCACCCACAGAGAAAGAGAAGTGCTTTGTGCTGGTGGGGTTGTAGTGCACAGTCCTAGAAGTGGGGGGAGGCCAAGGTCAGAGGGAGCCCTGCACTAATACCCTTCTGACGAGAAACCCTAGGCCCCTGAGTCTAGGAACACATGCCAAAGTACAGCCCTGATGAGTCCAACACCCTGGATACAAGACACCCCAGCACAGCACTTACTTCCTGTTGGCTGACAAGGCCATGTGTGTGCCATCATTGAAAAGCACTGCTACCCGTCGGCTGGACAGTTGATACCCAAAGCCAAATTTGTTGGAGTAATCAACCCACTTGCTGACCCACACCAGAGGCTCTGGCTGTGCCAGAGGGGCTGGGTTCTGTTCCGCTGTCAAGGGAAAAAAGGAAATAAGGGACCTGCTCCTTCCTAGCCTCCTAGTCAAACAACTCCCAACAATATTAACACACACCTGACCCCAGCCTTACCTGGGGGCATGAAGGCCACACAGTTTCTCAGAGCACAGAGGGCCGACTCTACCACAGTGGCCACAGTTAGACCTTCTTCAAATCCTGAAAGGAACAGAGCACTGAGATTTAGGCATTAGCCCTCCCTAGACTCAGATCATGTCCCTCTGTCAACTCCTTCCCTCTGGTTCCTGGTCTCTGCCTCAGCAAGTTTTAGCAAGTCTCACACTCCTTGGTTCCTCACCATCTCCACTGCTCGCCAGCGTCCCACGGGGTGAGCTGTCTTCAGCAGCTGTCTCTACCAGGCTGACAGGGGCTGGACCAGAAGTTGCTGGAGCCTAGAGAGTTGGGTAGGGACAGGGAGTGAGATAGGCCCTGAAATYGAAATCCTTGAAAGTCCATGGCCTAGCCCTGCCCTGGTGTCGAGGGCACCCTGGGTCAGCCCCAGCCTGCTAATGAAACACAGCCAATTAGGCCACCACGAGGCTGGATGCTTCATCAGCCTTTTATCCCGGGCTTCCTTCAACTGCTAGGTGGGGTGAGTCAGGGGAACAATGCCCACGTGAGCACCTCACCTCGGGCCTGGCATCTGGATGGCCAATAGACGTGCGCATGAGGCCGTTCACCAAACAGGAGACCTCGTCCTGCTCCTCAGGATGGTTTTTATCTGGAGGTAGGGGGGATAGTCTTCAGTGTTCTGCCCAATCCCATTGTCCACAGGGATGACACAATGATAGGCCTTCCCAAGTACCTGGACAACACACATTCTCCTCAGGAGTTCGCAGGCATCCACACTCTCTTTCTTTTGGTACTGGGAATTGAACCCATGGGTGCTTT